ATAAGCCATTTTTCATTTAGTGATCAGTGTTGTTGCGCAAGTTATTTAGTCATCAATATTATTTTTCATGGAGTGAACAACAAAAGTTGTTGTGTATATATATATATATATATATATATATATATATATATATATATATAGATTTTAATTTAATAAGCCATTTTTCATTTAGTGAACATTATTAACATAGTGATGTATAAAAATACAAAAATTCTTCTATGCTTTCCATGACTTCCCCTGTTTTTTTGACATTCAAGAATTAACCTTGCATTTTGGAAGATATATTATGTAATATTTTGATAACCTCTCCTCTATAAATTACATTATTCCTGGCGCTTACTTCACCACCAGGATAGTTGGTTACAAAAAGTGATTACAAAAAAAACAATGTAATGTAACAATGTGAGTGTGTGTGTTCTTGGCCATGAAAAGCCCACAGAACATGTATATGTTGGGGTGAAGAAATGTCTGCCAAAATATATGTGATTGGCAGCCCGCAAGGTGAAATGAGAGTCTGGCACTGTGATTGACTCCCAGAGTCAATATACTGTAGGCTGACTGGTGGGCTGTGTGAGAGGAGATCTGGAAGAGTAAGCATGTTCTGTGGTTGTAGCTGCGAACTGGATTGTGTTGTTCAATGAACGAAGAGTGACTGTGATTATCCTGTTCTGTTAAGGTGGATATAATGCGCCAAAGCGGTGCATGTACATAGGGTATCCGCATTTCTCCGATCTGAGTGACATTTTAACAAATGGACTGTAGATTACTATCTACCTGTCTTTCAACATCCCCGCTAACATTATCTAGTGCCCAGCCTGCGTGAACACTCTTAAAATGCTGCTCACTGAACCCAGTAGGATAGCCAGTAAAGGAGTGCAGCATGTAGAGTGAGTTGTGTAAGGAACTCAGTACTGGTGAACCTGTCCTGTCAGTGTGCGTGGCCTACCTGGGAAAAGCATCCTCCTCATTGGATGCCAGAAGGAAAGGGTTATGTGACAGTAATACAAAACAGGAATATCACATTTCGATTCCAAGTCATATCATTTCTGCTTTTCATAGTGATTTATTTGTTACTCTTTGGAGAGAATATACATTTGTGAAAATGTTCCTTGATGTTGATATTATGGAAGATTAACTATGGCATGAAAAGAAAAATAGATTAATATTTCAATTGTATAGTTCCACAGTGTATTTATCATTCATGTACCAGAGGGGAATCCACGTCTCTGGTATATGGTTATGATATTTATGGGTCGATGGTTATTTTCAATTAGTTTTTTCTTTACTTTTTCGTATACCTTTGTCGTTCAATGATTTTTACTTTAGGATTAATTTCTTAAGATAAAAGGAAAGAGGAAAGAGAAAGAAAGAATAAGATAAGAATAAGAATGAGATTGGTAAAAACGATATTGCTTCAGAATATGTTCCAGCTTTTATTATATTAAAAAAGGACATGATATTTTCAGTTATTGAATGAAAAATATATAACCATATTTTACCCTATATACAGATATTGGTTGAGAATTAATTTCTTAAGATAAAAGGAAAGAGGAAAGAGAAAGAAAGAATAAGATAAGAATAAGAATGAGATTGGTAAAAACGATATTGCTTCAGAATATGTTCCAG